TTTTATTTTAACTTCATTAATTTTCTTTAAGTTTTTATTTCTTTGTAGCAAAGTAAACTTTTTCGTTATATTTTTTTTATTGTAAATCATATTTTGGTATTATATTTTATTTCATGTTATTTTACTTAATTTTATTTTATTTTTCATTTAATTTAATTTAACTTGCTTTAATTTTAGTTTGTTTTTGTTGTTTTTTAACTTTTTTATTATTTATTTTATTTTATTTTATTATATTTTAATATTTTAATATTTTAATATTTAATTCCTTTTCATTTTATATTATTTCATTTAATATTATTATACTTAATTGTAAATATATAATTTTTTTTTCGTTATTTTATATTTATATTTAACTTAATTTAATTAAGTTCTATTTTATCTAATTTCTTTTAAACTTTTTTATTTATTTATTTTATTTTTTTATATATTATTTTATTTCATTTCTTTTCAAATTATTATATTTTATTTAATTTTATTATATATATAAAATTTTTTTTTATGTTCCTTCATTTTATTTTATTTTTTTTCTTATTTAATTTTTCCTGATTTTGATTTAGTGTATGTTATAAGTTTTATATTATTTAACTTTTTTATTATATTTGATTTAATTTAATTTATTTGTTAAATTCTTTTATTTGATTTATTTATTTAATTCAAATTTATTAAATTAATATTTTGATTTTGCTTAATTCTATTTGTTTTATTTTTAATGTGATTTAATTTGTATTTATTTAATTTTATTGTATTAATTTTTTTATTTTATTCACTTAATTTAAAATAATTTATTTTAAAGTTTTTTTTTATTGTTTTTAATCTAATCAAAATATATTTCGTTGTTTCAAATTTTTTATACATATATAATTTTTATCTTAATTCTTCAATTTATAATTTTACTTTATAATTATTTTTTGTTTATTTATTCATTATTGTTTATTTTTTTAACAATAATAAAATTGTTTTGTGATTGTAAAATGGTGGTAATTAAATAGAAAACCCAATCCCGTGCCACATATCAACCGGCCACAATAAACAATGTCATCGTCATATATTTATATAATACATACAGATGTACAGACGTACATATTTAATTGGCGTAAACGTCAGTAAAGTTGATTTGCGAATAAAAATAAATAATTTTTTTATCAAGATAAAAATAAATTAAAATAAATATTTGTATTTGTATGCAGGTAAATGTACACACATATATAAGTAATATGTGTATATCTTGTATGGTGTTAATGCTTTTTTGTTGCTTTACCGCTGCCATACTAACCTGTACCGCTTGTCAAAACAACAGAAATCATTATTAAACTCCTCTTCTTCTTCTTCTTATTCTTCTTCTCAGTGTACATTGTCACTCAGCCCAATTGAAGTTGGACGTTATCTGGGGGTTTTCATAGTCATCGTCATCGTGGACGTGATTTAATAAACGATAAGGTTATATGAGTATATGTAACTATGTACGCGCTTAGTACATATTTATGTTGCTGATTTGTTATTTATTATTATTTAATTTTTTATTTTTATTTTTTTTTGCTCTTCGTAATAATTTCCTTTATTTAATCATTTAATGTGAAATTTGATTTTTTCATTGAATGTTCTGATTAAATTGTTGATTTTTCATTTATTGCGTTTTTTATCACTCTTATTTTGCTATTTTATTTTATAATTTTTTTTTTTTTATTTTATAATATTTTTTTTTTGAGTTCTTATGTCATTTAACTGGGTTATGAGCGCGAGGTTAACGGTAACAACAGTATTTATCGATGTTATTGGTTTAGCTACTGCTCAAACAAATGTGGTTAAACGGTAAAAAAATAAAACAATAAATAAATATTTATTAAAATTTAAATTATAGTAAGATTTAAGGACTATATGCGGTATAATAAATAAAAATAAATTTAAAAAATTTGTAAAAAACAAAATTTTTTGTCACGAATTCAAATAAAAAAAAATGTAATAAATGGGGTATCAAAATATTTTTTTTGGAACCGAAAATAAAAAATAAAAATAAATAAATGTAAAAAAAAAATATTTATTTAAAAAAATATAATAATAATGAAAAATTATGAACATTTGGTAAAAAGAGTAAAAAATTGAATGAAAGTATAGGAAAAATCCTCTTATTTATCGTTTCCATTATTTTTATTTTTATTTGTTAGTTTCAATTTAATTCAAGCTAAATTAACTTTCGTGAATGACTTCAACGATTTCGCAAGGTTTAAGGAGGCCTTGGTATCCAATTTCGGCACTACCTTTATTCCTTTCAACTGTGTTGGCTTCTAGATGTCAAGTATTGGACAGAGCCGAACAAAGGAAAACGAGGTGTGACAATTAAGTAATGAGACTGATTATATTTCCGCGATTCATGTATTTGCCATCGCTCCAGCTTGTTCCGATCGCCTGCTGTGTCGTGTTGAGTAAACGTGTGTTCGTGGTGTTCGTCATGAAAATGGAACAACGAAATCAAGACCATACAATCCGGAAACCAAACGCCAAAGCTCACAATAGTTGTCTTCGCATGAGCAAGTCGAAGGTGAAAACGATGATTATTGCCTTTTTGCTAGCCGTGGAATCGTCCACAAAGAATTTCTTCCATCTGGGCAAACCGTAAAACGAGTCTAGTCTCGCCAACTACTCCAAAGGTAGCGAAAATGTGTCAACCGGTTGCGCCCAGACATCGCTCGTAACTGGATCCTTCATCACAACAACGCGCCCTACCACACCGCCTTCAGCGTGTCCCAGTATTTGGCCTCTAAAGGGATCGTCGTGTTGCAACATTCGTCTTATTCACAAAATCAGTGGTCAATGAAACCCATTTTAAGGCGATTGATTGGGGTACTCGCGGACATCCCAGTCGAAGCGTTCCAGAAATGTTACAAATCATGGAAAACGCCCTGAAATCGTTGTATAGTTGCCCAAGGGGACTACTCTGAGGGCGATGGCAGAGTTGTATAATATTTTTGAAACATACGGTTTTTATGAAAACCCTACATATTAAAATATCGCTGCTATCCATTCTGCTTTGATGACTCAGCCTGCCCCCTAATCTACTACCTCCTTACTTGCCCCTGCAGGTTAGGCGCTCAATAATTTACCCGTAGTAAGACATGCCTGCCGAAGAGGCGACTAAAATCCAAAAGTTTCGCGACAGTCGGGTCTTTATACCACAACGACCCAGATTTGTATCCGGTCAAGGACTCTCCTTCGCGCAGACACCGCTTACACGATTTTGGCCGATTTAACAACGTTGCGCCATTCGTTCCTTATTTGTGCTGTTTGACGCCAATTAAAAATACCAAGTACAGCCAGGTCCTTCTCTACCTGGTCTTTCCAACGGAGTGGAGGTCTTCCTCTTCCTCTGCTTCCACCGGCGAGTACTGCATCGAAAACTTTCATAGCTGGAGTGTTCGCATACATACGGATCAAAGACCTAGCCAGCGTAGCCGCTGCTTCTTGATTCGCTGAACTCTATCAATGTCGCCGTATAACTCGTACAGCTCCTCGTTCCATCTTTTGCGATATTCACCGTTGTCAATGCACAAAGGACCATAAATCTTACGCAAAACCTTTCTCTCGAAAACTCCTAACGCTGACTCATCAGATGTTGTCATCGTCCATGCTTCCGCACCATATAGCAGGACGGGAACGATGAGGGACTTGTAAAGTTTGGTTTTTGTTCGTCGGTAGAGGACTATACTTTTCAATTGCCTACTCAGTCCAAAGTAGCACCTGTTGGCAAGAGTGATTCTGCGTTGAATTTCAAGACTGACATTATTGTTGGTGTTGATGATGGTTCCTAGGCAGACGAAATTATCTACGACTTCAAAATTCGTGCGAGCCAAATCGCGAATTTGATGACTGTTTGTTTGATGATAGGAGATATTTCGTCTTGTCCTCGTTCACTTCTAGACCCATTCGCTTCGCTTCTTTATCAAGCTTGGAGAAAGCAGAACTAACGGCGCGGTTGTTGAGGCCGATAATGTCAATATCATCGGCGTACGCCAGTAGTTGTACACTCTTATAGACGATAGTACCTTCTCTATTCAGCTCTGCGGTTCTTATTATTTTCTCCAGCACATATATGGTGCCTTTAGTCCATCATTACTTTGGTTATTCAGCTCTATATATTGTATAGCCGAAGGTTCTAGCAGAAAAATCATTCAATGCCACATCGGATTTCGCTGTAATGCTTTCCGGTCTAATATTGATTGTTGGTGAATTGATTGTTTGTGGGTTGAACCATCTTTTGCGTACAGACGGTTGGAGTAGTTCTTGGCGCTGTTTTTAATATATTTTTTTGATATTCCAAATTTTTTTATGTTCTAAATTTTTTAGTGAAAAATTTTCATAACAAAATTAATATTTAATTAAAAATACTTAATTTTTTCATTCTTTTTAAATTAATATTAATATAAACATATGTAATGTTTTATATATTTAATTAAATTTTTTTAATTATAATTTTACACTTTTGTTAAAAAATTAATTTTTTCAAAATTTTTTTTATTTATGTTATATACATACGTCGGTACATATTTTATATTTTCATATTTAATTTTAATTTTTTGAAACATAATTTAGCTTTTTAATTAAAAAAATATTTTTTTCATTCTTCTATAGATAGTTTTATATCGATGTACCCATACTAAATATATTTAATTTTGATTTTTAATCGTAGTTTCACTCTTTAATTTAACAAAATATTTTTTTTTATATTTTTTTATATTTTTTTAATTAAAAGCATTTATACATATCAATGTATTTATCAAATGTTAGTATTTTACTCAAAAATTTACAAAATTTCAGTCCTATATTAAAAAAATTGTTTTTATTTATACTTTCATAATAAGCATTATATGTACATACATATGTATATGCATGCACATATGTGTATTTATACTTAATATTTTATGCATTTAATTTTATATTTTAATATTTTTATGTTACTTCCATCTTCCATTCAATTACCCCCTTATTCTGTCTTATTCTTCTTCTAGATGCCATGTATCGTATAAGGTAAGGTAAGTACATACCTCTCTTACAAACGCCTGCTAGCTCATCGAGCAAAGTACCGTTATGCTTTGAAACCGTAACCAACCAACTGAGCGTATGAGCTTTGGACCGCCTACTCGCTGCTATGATTGATGGCAATGTAGCTATGTGAGTATGTGAGTATATACATATACATATATACTTGCAAGCATGCAAGTAGAAGTGAGTTCATTTATTTATTTTTTTGTCTATATGTTCTATATACATATGTATTCTTAACCAATACAGTATTAACTGTTTTTCTAATTTTTATTTTTATTTTTGTATACATATTTTGTGTATGTGTTTATACATATATATATATAATATGATTTAAGAATTTGTTCGTTTGGCTTTAGGAATTATCATAATAATTTTATGGCACTTCAATGAGTGCTTGTACACTTATAACGGTAGTATTATTTTGTAGTTAACTACAACAAAACTCATATATCATTTGGAGTTTTATGGCACCACCTACAGTTGATTATGTACACTTACGTATATACATATATATATATATATTTATAACAGTTACCTATATATAATTTGTGCTTCTTCTTCCGCCTACTTTCACTACTAAACACATTCTCATAGCTTCCGTGTGCTTAAAATACTTTCGAGAACTTTTAGTTGATCCTGGAACGCTTAAAAGATCTCCATTCCTTACTTAGTCGTTACATATGCCACTTGGCCCAGCTTCTAAAGTCTTCTTCTGCCTCATACTTACCTCCTCGGCCCCCGTATGTTCTTTTGAAGCTCACTCCTACCAATTTCTTAAGCCTCCACACACTTTTTTTAAGCCTGAAATCCATCCCTTAACCAACTTTATGTTTTCTTGAAAGTTTAGTTGCTTAAAATACACTTTTCGCCGCCTTCCAAAGTTCTGTAGCACCATAATGATCTTCTCGCTCTATATGAAAACTCCAAGAGCGCACTAGCCGTCTTTATACCCAGCTACTGATGACATTTTGCTTCCCTTAAAATCTTTTTCCAACCGTACACATTCTTCCTCTGTTGGTTTATAGCCAACCGGCGACCACGTACTCCTTTTTTCCTAAGCTTCTCTACACATTTCCAAGTCCAAAATTTTTTATCCCGAACCGTTTTCTGTACTCTTCATGAACTCTCGTTTCAAATTTGCCCTGCTTTCTTTTGAGATTCTCAAGTAGAGCTCCGTGGGTTAATAAATGAGTAACTACACTTGTCATACAACCGTTATTGTTTGTTGCTGTAATATTTTTATTTTTATACCGTTTTGAATATTCTACAATCGATATTGTTGTCATATTTATGGCCTGAGCACTTGTTGTACTTGCAGTAAGTACCTGATGACGGTCTGCCCGCGAGTACCGAGCTCGGCGTACCCATGTTGGCAGCGTGTATCACCATGCTACGTTTGCCGGTCGTCAGTGATTGTGTGCGGTGTTGTAAGTTTAATTTAATTTGTCGTTTATTAGTCGAACACTCGTTTGTTTTATGAGACACTCGAGAGCTGTACTTGAGTCGCGAGAAGTGCTGCCTATTTTAGAAAATTGTCTATTTTAAGTACATATTGGGCTCCGTGTAGACATGATGTATGCACATTTGAGTTCGAGTGGTTTTCGGTTTGTTTGGCTTGCGGAATTTATGGCAGCTGAGATAAGGCGACCAGAGAAGGCACAACTTGTAGAAGATTACTTCGAAGTTTTTGGGGGAGAAAGCATCAGCGCGGTGCTTGGGGTCGAGTAATAGTGAGTTAATTTACCGAAGGCCGGCAGCTGTATTTATCCGATGTGTAAATGAAGAAGGATTCTTGGAGGACATTTTTCCTTGGCCCAACATGCGTACTGTAAAGGAAGTTCAGCAGACATCGCTTTCCACAAAGTACCATTGTATTACCTATGCCGATGATGTTCCACTCATTATTATTGAAACATTACTGAATACTCCAAACGAGCTGACCTGAGGAGGAGTTCGACTACAGTTAGCTATTAAAATAATCATCGAGGGCCGATTACTGTCAATGCCTTGGGGCTACATTTTGATTTGGATGATTTGGGTGCCGAGAGAACGTGCTCCTTGGATGCCAATTAGCAAGTACTAAAAGTCGCTCAAACTCAATATCTTCCGATCGAGTATGGAGCTGCATGGAGGATGAAAATCGTTTCGGCGGTTATAACGTTCCAGGTATATATGGAGCATGACGTGGTAGAGTCCTATCGGGACTTTTTGTTTGGTTACCCGGTTTTCATGAGAGAAACACACAAGTATCTTGGCTTTCCTATGTTTAACCGTCCAAGTAAGCTTCGGGTATTGAAAGTGTGCCATCTTTCACGGCGTTGTGATAGCGTTTTATCGAGTTGTAGGTTATCATTTGGCAATACTGGACTCATTAAGTGTTGCTTAACAAAATGAACCGCGGAACCTAACACTGTGCTTGCCATCCACAATTTAATCTAACTTCAAATAGTTGAGGTCCTACATTGATTTGAATGGCTCGGACGGAACTATTGTACTTGAACTTGACTAAAACGATACTGAAGATCTCACACAAGGGTTTCTTGTCGAAGAGTTATGTCCCTGGTGCTCGGATCCATCGCTCTTTGGTACAATATAACATAGGTCATTTCTATTACTCGGTTGGATGTTTAGCGTATTCTATAGTAAAGTTTCCGAAAATGACTTACGTTCTCGATGAAGAAATGTTTACAAATCAGAGGATTTCGTGGCTTCCAACCCTTAATGCAAGAACTCTGATGAAGTAACGAACCTACACCGATTTCTTGTAGTTAGTTGAATGTTAAATGTTTCTTAACGAGTATTAGAGGAGGAACGGATCAAACATTAACTTTTGGTGGCTCTTCACCTGAACTGGCAGTCACGCTAAAATTTGATATCACAGTTTCCTATCTTCTCAGGAAACATTTTAACCATAATCTTACTAAAGATCTCCATATCGAGGTCACGTGGTAGTCCATGAGTTCAGATTATGTCCAAATACAGAAGAGATTCGGCATTTGTACAAATACGTGGGAGATAAGAAGTGATAAGAACGAATTTCACATGATTAACACAAATAATTACCAAATTTTCGATAGATAACGGCACGTGGTAAGCGATGGAAGAAGAGTGAGATAGAGAAATTGTCAAAGTGGGGTTGTAGGAGTGTGAAAAGCCAAGCTAAATGCGCTGTACAGTGGAAAAATGCAAGTCAGAGCTGCTGATAGAGTGACAGAGAGAGAGTGTTAGTTTTTTGTTTAGCGGTGAAAGAAATGCGAGGAGACGACAGGAAAAGCGATATATTGAAAAAATAAGTCCCAAGTGAAAAGTTCTAAGGAAGTTTTTAAAATTTTCATGATCAACACGTGAGAAATATCTTTTTGATCGCAAAGTTTATTGGGAGCTTGCTTTGAGGCGTCGTCGTTTTTTAAACTTAATTTTTGAATAAAAAATAATTAAATTTTTGCAGTACTCATTTTCCGAATGCAATTTTTTTTTTGAAATTCTAAAATTCAATTTAATATTCATCATAATATATTTTTCAATTTTATTTCAATATTTATATTTTCTTTTAATTTTTTCTAACATTAAAATTTACAATTAAATATAAACAAACAAACTATGATTTATTAGTAAATATAATTTTAATTATATTATTAACGGTATGTATTTCTTATTTATTTTTAACTTATGCATTATGTAACATATGAAAATTTATGATTTTGCAGAATTATTTTTTTTTTGAATTTTTTCGAATTTTTTTTTGGTTTTCGGTGACTTTTTTTTCGCTACATCTAAAGAAAATTAAATATTAAAGAAAATTTTTTTGAAAATATTATTTGAATTCTTTTTTTAAATACATAATTTTTAAATTTTCTAGAAGTTACACACACATACATTTTTTCTTACAACGTTAATAAACTATTACTTTTTTATTAAAATATTATTTTAAACTACGTTTATTGTATACTTTTTGGCTTATTTTTTAAGTGTTGAATTGCGCAATGTGAAAAAGGACATTTTCAAAAATCCTGTTTTTTTTTAGAAATTTTATTATATTTGGAAATATTTAAATACATTTTTAAAGTAAAAAACTTTTATCAAGTTTTGAATGTTTAAGGAATAAAAAAATATTAACACATTTTTTATTAATTTTTTTTTTAAATATTTACAAAGTTTCAATAGGAAGAAACTTTAATTTCTGTAAATATGTACATAAATTATACATCGTTTCTTTATCGTTTCCATTTTATTCTATATTAATTATTTTTTGTTTTACTTTATTTTAATGAATTTCTAATTTATTTTATTTAATTTTGTCGCATTTTAATATATTTCAATTTATCTAAATTAATTCTCTGTTTTTATTCAATTTAAAAATATTTTATTTTATACAATTTATTTTAATATTGTTTTACTTCATATTATTTTATATGATTTCATTTTATTTTATTTATTATTTTTGTTTTATTTTTGTTTTATTTTGTTTGAGTTTATTAATTTTTTTTAATTATTACCTCTACATTATTTTAATTTAATTTAATTTCGTTTATTTAAATTTTTTAAAGTTAATTTTGTTCTCTTTTAATTTATTTCATTTTATAATTATTTACTTTATTTTATTTATTTTAAATTTAATTTAAATTAATTTTTATTTTATTCCATTTTATTGTTTTTTTGTTTGATTTTAATTCTTTTGCTTAATATAATTGCATTTGGTTTTTATTTCTTTTTTTTTAATAAATTTTTTCAAAGAAAAGTCGGTCTAATAATATTCACATAAAATATTTATATTTATTTACATTTATTTTTAAGAGAAGATTACATTTGTACAATTTTAGTGTTCTTTTATTTTGCTTAGAATTTTATTGCACCACAGAGACAACGAATACCAACATTACATTGAATATTTATTTTTTCCCGAAATTATTGTCCAATATTCGAGTAGCGTCGTTGAACTACCGCCACAAATAAAGATTTTTTCAGCAAATACTAGTTTTGATAGTACAAGCTTTCATACTGTTTCTATTTTGAGCTTTTACTAATTTTAGATTTATGCAGAAAAATAGAGCTTGCATTAGCTTGAGCTTTCACGACAAAGAGCTTTCACTAATTTGTACAGCTTTCAGTGATTATAATATTCACAAGCTAAAATTTAATCTTTACGAGCTAAAGCTCTCACCTCGTGAAGCTTTCACATTCAAATTCATATCACCCAACACGCTTACATACACGTATGTATGTATGTATATATGCATAAATACATTAAAATATTGCTGCTGTTACTATTGTTTCACGCTACAAGCGGCACTTGCCCTCGAACTCCCATTGCCGTTTCCATGCCGCCGCCATATCCACTCCATTAGATCTCAACAATATTAAGGCCACCACGGACGTTGATGTGGATGCGCATGCGCTGCGTGTAGACCCGCTGCCGCGGCTGCAGCTGCATGTTGATACGCCGCGGCGCCGTTCGCGTGCAAGACCAAGTGATGCGCCGCCGCCGCATTCTGCATTTGCTGTGTCATACAATCCTGCGATAATTTCGTGCCATCGGCCAGACATGGCTTGCCGTTACGCACCAACACCGGCACTGCTACGCGTCGTGGTGAAGGTAATGCGGCCGCGTGATGTGGATGCATGGCGGGATGATGTTCGTAGACGCCTTTCTCATTCTGGGCGCGTTTCGTCTTGTAGCGATGATTCTGGAACCAGATCTTCACCTGTGTCGGCGTTAGACGTATCAGACTGGCGAGATGTTCACGCTCGGGCGCGGAGAGGTAACGCTGTTGACGGAAACGTCTCTCCAATTCGTAAGTTTGTGCTTTCGTGAAGAGTACACGTCGTTTGCGTTTCTTATTTGGCATGCCATCGGCACCATTCGTCGAACCGTTACCACCATTCTCGTCATCATTCTCATCATCCATAATATCCTCTTCGATGCCGTCCTCAATGAGACTATCGTCATGCGGATTGGAGGAAGAGCCGCCGGCGCTGGTGTTGTCAGCACCTCCAGCGCCACCAACACCTGGCATATTTTTGTTGAGCTGTTGATGGTGTGCGTGTAGTTGTTGATGAGCCGCGGCGCTGGCATGTGTCTGCATGTGCAATGAATTGGCATCACCAACGGAGAGCGCATCACTTTCCGCCGAACGGCTGTAGGTCTTGTAGTCGCCAGAGAGTGCTGGTGAGGTTTGACAATTGGAGCCGATGTAGGTGTAGGAGACCTCTGACGTGTGTGGCGAAGTGCTGTCCGGACTGGCGGGCTGTTGAATGCCTGTGGGAGAGAAGAGAAAATGGTAGATTAGTTGTTTGTACGACTCTGTGCATATTGGGGATTAAGTTAGTGCTAGTAGTGGACTCAGTTTTGTTCTGAAGTGAATTTGTCCCCATGGAACGAGCTGCCTTTTATTTGGACAGATGCGTTACTTTAAGGTGTGTATTTCAACCCTACTTCGAACCAACGAGGTTTTCGTTCTGTGAGTTTGTTGGAGTTTGGGTTTTTGTTTTATATGAGTAATTTCGAAATCAGCTCACCCCGAACTTGCCCACCTGGGGGGAGCTGACTTCTATATTATCGATCTAACGAAGTGTTTTTCCGCCTGTTCGCTGTAGTCGTATTTTTAATTCAAGGGTCTACAAAGATCCCTTAGAGTGCACTGCACCTCCGCCATGTTCCATATGAGTGAACTCGAAATCAGCTCACTCCGAGCTTGCCAACTGAGAGAAAGCTGACTTCCATATGGTCAATTGAGCTACTCTACATTGTAAATTTCAGCTAAAAAGACGCTCTTCGTGCCGATCTCTACGTAGTTTCGATATGTCCTCAACATCTTTTGTCTGTACTGTTAGAAATTCAATTTGTCTTTCTCCCCAAACATCCTTTTGTCATTCTTTTCAGATTTCAATACAATAATTCTCTCATACCCAATAGAGCTGCCAACTTATACACATATCCTGGGCGGCAACATTAGAAAATACCTTAATTTATTAGCCTCCGAGCCTCTGAGCCTCTGAGCCTCTAAACACACAAAGCACAATGGGTGGGCAAACAAACAGTCGATTTTCCGTAATTTGGGCGGAAATAAATTGTCGTACATCAAAATTTTACAATCACAGGCTCGTTTCACACAATGCGTGTGAGGCAGACGGACGGGCGGACAGAGACAATGACGCAATAGTAAGAGGAAACAATGCATACGCAGTCGAGGGGAAACCGGAAGGATGGCACATGGATTAGATCACACCTTCATTTGAGGTTTTCACTTTTCACACACAAAAAAATCCAATTGACGTATGACAAAGGAGGCGGCAGACGAGCTGGACGGTTAATAGCATTTATGCTGTTTTTATATCTAAAGAGATTTCATACGGACAATGGGAACCGAACAACTAGCTGCTCAAACCAGTACAAATGTAGCTCACAAACGAGTGCTTACCTGTGGAGCGACTCAAAAATCTACAAACCGACGGCCATTTCATAGGTGAGCTCGTTATGCGCACTCGGAAACAGCTCAAAAAGAATGCAACGAGGAAACGATGGAAGTAGGAAGTGAGCTCATGCTGCACTGGCGCATGAAAAGAGGATAACTTCCTTCGTATGTAAGTGAGTGTGTGCGGCTGCATGCTGAGCTATTGTGAAAAAGGTGTATAAAACAATCATAAAATCACGGCAACCATTGAGGTATCTGCTTGACAGCAAAGGGTGTGTGAGTTAAACCGCGGCAAACCGGTGCTGGGATATGCGCGCGCGAGAGAGTGAGAAAGAGAGAGAGCGTGCGGGCCTGTTTTATGTCTGTGGTTTGTTCACTTACGCTGCAGTTGACGCCTTTTATTGTTGTCACGGCTGGCACACGGAAGGCAAATGATGAATGAAGAAGGATCGAATGAATGGATGTAGCGCGAAAGGGCGTATGAAGTCGAAGTCAACTCAGGTAGAGAGTTTGATGGGATTGTGGAAACACTGCAGGCGGTTGGGGTATTTTAATTGATGCTATTAGTTTATGTATAACGGATAAATAGCGAGCATACCTACATACATACATACAAGCGGGAAATGCTTAATGATCGAAGTGTAAAGGTCCGGCAGATGAGCGCGGAAGCGAGGCTAAGTAATAATATCTAGGGTTTGCTGAGGTATTTAATTGAATCTAAGCCATGGATGGAATTCGACTACTTTCTGAAGAGCGGTGAAAGTCCACATGCATATACATACATGTGTATTTGTGAAAAAAATAGAGCTTTTCAGAGCTTTCACTTAAATTTATTTGATCATCTGGTAAATATTTTTTACTGATTTCCAACTCAAAACTTTATCTAAATTCAAAGAAAAACTGATTTTTAAAACTTGTAACAACTTTATATAGAAAACGGAGACCTTTGGAGCTTTCACTTAATTTTATTTAATGATATGCTAAATATTGTTTACTGAATTTCAACTCAAAACTTCAATCAGAAGTGATTTTTAAAACTTGTGGCAACTTTATATAGAAAAAGGAGAGCTTTTGGAGCTTTCAGTAATTATTATATATAAATTTCGAAGATTTGCTAAAGACTTTTACTACTATGTAAGTCATAGATGTCAAGTACTTTCAAAAAACAAGTATTTTTTGCAATTTCCTTCTAAAACATTTAATATTCAATATTTTTTTGCAACTTTATATATAAAGAAATGGTGCTTTTTGAGCGGCGATTTCTGCAGATTTTTATTAAGCTTCAATTAAAAATGACTTCACATACAGAAGCTTGAATTTTGGAAAGTTGCACTTAATTATATTGACAACTTACCCAGAATTTTAACGAATTTCAGCTCTCTATCTGGGCAGTTGGGAGGATATTTAACGCTTTTGAGACTAACTTTGAGAGTTTTGACGACAATAAGTCCACAAATTTGCTAACAATTTTTGTGGCAATATTTTCAAGTTCCAATAGTGCTTTTTATTTTAAGTAGCTAGTCTCTGACTAGTTACAATGTAAGCATTTTGCAGTCTAATTTTTTTCGACGTAAATTATTATTTTTTTTTCAATAAAATTTATACTGAGATTAATTTAAAAAAAAATAGTATGCTATAAGTAGTCCGTAACTAGTTATATTTATAGCCACTTTCGAACCAAACTTTTTTTTTTTACTTTACAGCGATGTTTAATGCATTTAAAAATGTAGTAAGAAGTGGTCTGCAACCAGTCACAAAGTAGCCACTTTATAAAGTTAATATATTTTAATGTTTTTTTTTTGTACATTAATTGACATTTACACAGTCATACATGACTTTTACATGTCAAAATCAAACATTCATTTCTTTTATTTGATATAAAAACAATTCTCATAAGAATTTGTATGTATGTACATACATATGTATGAAAAAGGCGTAAGAAGGGTGTGTCCGAAAACGAGCCGAATGCAGAAGGATATGGAAGATCTAATGCATTGTATGATATGAATGCGTAACTGTAAAATTGTCGACAAATTTTCCGTGTTAACCTTTGTGTTTGCACAAACCACCACTACAACAACAATTGAACCAGCGTACATACATACATACGTGTATGTACCTTCCTTCCTCCCTCTGTGTGCAATACAGTTTTTTCTTTGCTTCGCTTCAGGTATTGCTGTCGTTGTTGTTGTTGGTTAATACCTCGGTTGGTAGGTTTTTGCTTGTCATTAATTGTAAGTTAAAAAGTTATTTTCATTTAACACAATATCGATATTTAGCAATCTTAACAACAAATGAGCGACAGCCAAACTGAGCAGAGCAGATGTTCAACGTCAACGCATGGACATACGTGTGCATATGTACAAATATAAATATGAAATTTATGCACACCGTGCCATCCTTTGGACGTCGGAGTGCATTCTGCTGCCTTGCGCTGCAAATTGTGCTTGGTAGTGAACCCTCGTTGCAAGGGCGGCGCGCGGAGCTCAGCTTGGCATCTGCCTCTGTTGTTGGTTTTATTTTTGTTGCTTAGCCTCTTTTTTGCTTGGCGTTGGTAAGTAGAAAAAATATATTAATTTTTTTCGTACCAAAATTTGTCTAATCATATTTATTTACTCGCTCGTCTGCCGTCGTTCCTCGTCTCGCCTCGTCTCGTCCTGCCACTGCTCGTCCTTTTTGCTGTTTTACACTTCGGGATTAGACATATTTGCTTAAGTGCTCGGCACTCGAGTCATCTAAGTTCATATGCAGTTTTGAATTTTTTTTTTTAATTTTCTCTTTCACTAAACTGTCACGCACTGCCGTTATTTGTTGTTATTTTAATTTGAGAAAACCTGCAGCTGGCTGTATTCCGGTAATGTTTATATTATTATTAACCTCTTCCGCTTTGTGGCGCTTCGCAGTTATTAAGTCATTAGAAATTAGCGTGTTTATGTTGCCAAGGTAATGCGGATTTATTAGGGCTAAATAAGCTTTCTTCAATAACTATTTATGTTTTATGGAAGAGGAGGCGTCGATAAAATGCGTTGTTATGAGCTTTCACAAGCTTTTAATTGATAAAAAAACTCGATTCAAGCATTTAAGCTTTGTAAGATTTAATTAGAAGTTTACGGAACTTCATTGTACTCTACTGAGCTTTTAATTGAAGCTTATGGAACTTCCTTGTACTCTAATGAGCTTTTAATTGAAGCTTATGGAGCTTAGTAAATAGGGATAATCAAGTTTTCAAGAAAGTCAAGGTGCTTACCTTTGAGAATACGAGGTCCCCTGGTCTGAGACGTGTAAAATATGCCTCAGAGCTTTTGAAAGTTTTCAATTTTTTACATACTAACATCTGATTGTAAAAAAATCGGTCATTGCGAGATTCTGAGATGCGAGAACTTTAAAAAAAATTTACACTTTTGTCGTTTTTTTATTAATCCTTCAAGCTTGGAAGAGTTTGTGATAAAAATTATGGCCAAATGCCTTTGAGCTTTTATAAAATTTTGCTTAAAGCTTTTCCACTTGTCGTTAAACTAACAAAAGTACATAGCATAAAAGCTTCTGGGGAGAGAAACGTAGGTTTGGCTAAAGTGTTTTGAGCTTTTATACAATTTGAACAAAGCTCGGAAGCTTGTTTGTCACAGCTTTAGCTAAATGAAAGACGAAAGGTTCAACTTAATTATCTGCTCGAATTGAGAATCGAAGTAAGAGTTAAATAAGTTGTGGTACAAGACATTGAAAAGAGGTCTCTCAAACGATGCCCTTAAAACTTCGTAGTTATCCATAAAGCTTCTTATGAACACTTGAGAACAAGAACTGAGTCTCTACTTAGCATATACACACATAAACTACACAAAATTCTCAAATTTCTCTACTCACCATAAAGTTCATTCTCCTTAATCCACGCGCCACGCGCCGGATGCGACAACACCGTGTGCGTCATCTGATGGTACGACGAGAGCTCATCACTGAAACTTGTAAAATTCTTTGGCAAATATTGTCCCGCCGCTGCGGCCGCTGCCGCCGCAACAGCATTGTGATGACTAGCAATGAGATGGGCGGTCGCTTGAGCGGAGGCTGCATTTGCCGCTACAGCAGCGGCGCTTTGATGCTGCACTCCACCACTCCCGACCTGACCGCCATCCGCACCGTTAACCACGCTGCTAACAGCCGTCAGAGGTGTAGGTGTTGTACCACCGGCAGAATGTTGTGTTGTTTGATCATCTGTGGGTACCGTTAAGGTGGAACCGGTGGCACTCAGCACCGATGCGGGTGGCGTTAAATGTGCTGCGCTGTGTTGAGCCTCACCATTGCTATTACTATTCGCGTTATTGTTGTTATTGTGTAAGCTAGTGTTGTTATTATTGTTGTGGGGGTGATGCTGTGGATGTAGATGTGTTAAATGAGTGGCATGTTGTTGTGGTGTGGCATGCTGACTAATATCCGTTTCGCCGCTGTGATGTGTGGGCACAACACCGTTCTTCAGCTCGCTGCCATCCAAATTGAGTATGTCCGATATGTGAAAGCCGGACGAGCGTTGCGAGGGTGGTACCTTGGCGTCGAAGAGACTGTTAGGAAGAGAGTAGAAAAATAATGTCATAAGTGCATTGGCTTAAAAGAATAAATGAAGAGTAAAAGAGTTAAGGTGGAAGCAATGAGGTAAATGTGACGATGGTCACCACTGTAATTTTAATTTGCAGTTTTTAAATTGTCAAAGTATGTCTAAAAGAGTGAAAACCGCCTTCAACGAATTTTTAGATATTTTTTCCAGATAAGTTTTTATAAAAATAATCAATCTGCAACTAGTTACATTGTAACCACTTCAAATTTTCCACATAATAATTCTAAATTATTGGTTTTCTGTTCAGACTTTAAAAAAATCTAAGTATGTAGTGTTCATGCAGCAAGTGGTCCGCAACTAGTCACATAATAGATACTTAAAGTATGCAAGATTTCCATGCCTAAACCCACTTTACGGTGCACCGACGGAATTTTTACAATAAAATTTTTAAAAGGAGACTACACTAGTTACAAGGTAATGACTTTTGTAGCAGTACTTGAAATAAAAAAGCTATCTATTTCAAAAACTTTTATCGTCCATACTAAAGATTATTCGAAGCAAACCTTCCCATAGATGACGAGGCAGAGCCATTACAATCAACCAACCGCACAATTGACCTTTCGGCAATTACTTCGCCATTATTTGTGGCAAAACAATCGTCCGAGATAACGCAACGGAATTCATTCACGTATTTCCCCACACATATAACACTCTAACATCGTAGTGTTCAAGTGGGAAATTCCAATCAAGAGCTCGTTTTCTCATCGTGAACAAAAGACACTTCGAAGGAAGTGAGGTTATATGTACAAGTGAAGCACGCACTACAAACGCTAATCAACACCAACAAAACAAACAATTAGAATTCCGCTAAAGGTCACTCCCAACGGAAGAAGAAAGGCTCAAGTGTTTCGCCGACTTCGGCTGAAGTGCGAGGATGGCAGGATTTTCAATGTGCGGCGGCTTTTCCCGCTCAATCGGCCGCATGTTATGAGTCTAAGGTGTTGGAATTTCCGTAATTCGCACGTTATTTCGGTGCAGCAGTTGGGGAATTCCATGGCAAATGCGAAACACATGTGTGACAAAAGAAGTTGAGTACAAAACGGGCGCTCATGAGATCAAAATACAAAACAAATAAACAAACAAACAAACAAACGTGTAAGGTGAGAAGTGCAGAGGACGAACAAGTATACAAAACCACGCAAACGCACATACACACACACACGCATACAAGTGCAATGGTAGGCAAGATAACAAGAATAAGGAAATATGGGTTCTCGATGCCAGGAAGTGAGGGAAGTGAGCTATGTACGTTGTACAGGTAGGTCGACGTGCAATTGAGCAATGCAAAACAACAACAAAAACACGCTGTGGCGGCGACAGGCTGTCTGCGCAGTGCAGCGTGGGATTCCCCAGACACATACACACACACACACACACATTCTCAAGGAAGTTTGTATGTATGAAGATCGCGCAGTGAAAATGACCTTTGAAGTAATGAAGCAAATAATTGTGTGTGTATGTGTTACCAAACCTGTAATGACGTGAGAAACATAATAAGCCAGCTAGAGGTCGACACATGTGTAGGTGGACGGACGAACGGACTGAAAAACATGCGACCGTGTGGACAACGCGAGTAATGCAAGTGTCAGATCGACGGTCGGCGTGAGTGATCGTCAGGTAGACAGACAGCGTAAGTGTGTGGAAAGAAAGAGGGAATGACAGGCAGACTAACGAACCGACAAAACTTTGGTAATTGGAAAGAAGAAGAAAACGAGAGACAGATATACAAATCAGGTGGACTGACAAACATGTGATCGAGTGCACAGAACGAGTGAACTGAATGTCAGGCAGGCAGAACGACAGGTTGACGGACGGGACGAGCAATTAATTTGAAGATAACGAGAGACAGATAGAACGGCTGGTTGAACGGACTTAGTGATCAGAGCGACCAATCCAAGTGTCTTAGAGTCAGATCGACAGACGGATCGAGTAATTAGACCTAATAAAGACAGATAGACAGATCACAAAAGGCCGAGGAACGGAGCCAGTCATTGAAAAGACAGACAGACATAACGCCAGTTTGACGGAGATGGCGAGTCTTGCTGAGGACGAAGATGGAAGCGAGAACGAGACAGAAATATGAATAAGCTCCGTCCGTCAGCAAGTAATATTTACGAAGGAGATAGCAAAAGCAATGTCGACCAATCGACAGACGGACGTATGGGCATAAGAAGCAGTCGTAAGAAACGGACACATCGTCAGTTCGACAGACATACAGAAGTGTCGAACAGACCAACCGTCTGCCGTTCGTCAATTGTAACCTGTGTTGCTAATGCACTCCCCATGTGTGGTATACTGCAAATTGGAAAATCCCAATAAATTGCACTGCAATAAACACATGTTCACATGTCCGTCCATCCGTCCATCCGGCCGTCCGTCGGCCCGTTCACACAGGAAGTAACATATGTTTCGCATTTGCAACGCCTAGTGCATAACCGAACACACAATGCCGAAGAAGAATAATCAAGGTGCAACATGTGAACTGAGTTTGAGACTGTAAGAAAAACTAAAACTAAATTCCAATGCAGAGAGATAACCCGAGCTCTTTCCGACTAATCAGATTTGTGTGTTAATTGTTGTGGGTATTAGTTGAAATTTAAATCAAATTTATTTAAAACTGTTGGCTAAATGTAAGCTGACTTACGGTGCGGCTTGTGGGCTAGAGATTAACCGCACGTTGGATTAGACGTGAACAATCGAGATCTAGCTTAGCTAAAACACATGTCGGCATGAGCTACGCAACGAACTCGAGCAAATGTGTGAATAATCCGAGTTTAAATCAAAGTTAATTTGTCAAAGACGAGGGATTTTTGTGGGAGATAAGGCGATGCAAGAAAGTTGATGTAGAAAAACTGATTGAAGAAGTAAAATTGGGAAAAACTCAGTCAACAAAGTCCGAACTCCACGAGGTGACAAAGTTTTTATAAAGTTCTCGGGCATTAGTGGACTCTCATGCACCCCCACTCGGCTCTGATTGGTTGTGAGATGAAATTATGTAGATATGCTAACGCTGAGTATACGTCTTAAAAGCGTTTGGATATTGGAAGCGTTAGAAAACACTATACTGGGAAAACTAAGCTCTGCACAAGTGAGCTTTTGGCAGAAAACGTCTTGAAGTCTTCAATATACTTAGAGAGGTCTTAAGTTCTCTTTCTAAAATAACTGTGTTGAGAGAGTACTGCTGCCCGATAGTGGATTTTTCGACAATCAATACCCATGACTCGATTATCTATCAGGCGATACTTCACACGATAGCCTGTGCGTATAGATAGAACCCATCCGAAATGAGAAGAGCTCTTAATTCACTCATCATTGACTGAATGACAGTCTTTTGACCAAAGAGAAGGGCTCTTCAAGCACTTGCAAGGAGAAAAGATCTTTCAGAGAAGCCCACTTGAAATCGCAAGGAGAAGAGCTCTTACCACACTCTCAAAAAGTAGAGCTCCTAATTCAGTTAGGTGGACCGAAAAACGTCATCCAAAGCAATTTATGGCCACAATACTCACACTCCCAAGGGAAGAGCTATTTCAGTGGAAACCATTTACAGGCTCAAAGAGCACAACTCTCACCATACTCTCAGATTCGGGAGCTTATAGCTCAATTGGGAAGAGCGAATGACGTCTTACAAAGCTATATATGACCACAAGACTCACACTCTCAAGGAGAATGGCACTCAGGAGAAGTTCTTCTAAAAATAACCACTCCTATCAGCGAGGAGCGGCCTTTTAACAAGCTTTCGAGGAGACGAGCTCTTCATTCATTCAGGAAGACCGAATGACATATTCCAAAGTAATATAACTGCCGCGGTATCGAAGTGGAGCGACTCTTTTTCAACATCAAGCCAACAATTAAACAGGAAACACACTTCAGGTGTGAAAAACGTGCATCCTTTTTCTCTAACCAATTGCCTTAATGATCCGGTCTTTTTATTGTCTCACTCTCTACACACACATCTTCTCACACAGGTAGAAGCACACAGAATGGATACACTTGTACCCGAATTAAAAGAATCACGTGTTTCCAAGTGCCATTGTTTAGACTTCCGTCTTTTTATTGACTTCTTTTCCTTTGATAAAAACCTAACAAAGGCTCCCATAGAAAGGCAGTGAGTTCCTCTTTCTGCGTGCATGTGTGTGTTGAAAATTAAAAGTCATTGACTTGTTATTGATATCTTTAGAAGAAGAAAGAATAGAAAAAAATGCACTTTTGTCCAGCGAATGTGCCGGATGGTCGGTCTGTTTGTAAAGATGGTTTGACATAATTTATGATATGAAAATTGGTTATGTTGAAGGACTTTTGCTATGGGATTTCAACCGCTGAAAATTTCCCAGTACGAGGGCGGACGGTTTGAGCTCACGTTCGCAAAAAACACAGCTCGGTTTGACGAGACTTTCAATTTTCTAGAATACTCGCACCGAGGTGAAGAGGCTGCCCGAAAAAGACCGTCTAAAGCTCGATACAAACTCTCACTAACGAGCTTAGGTAATTTTCGAGCTCCGATTAGATCAATTGCTTTGAGGGAAGGTTCTTCGAAAGAGAACCGAGTAAAGCTTGAATCACATTAAACTTAATTTGGTGCCCGAAAGTACTGACTAGAGCTCACATATATAAGAAACGCAAAGGCGAAATGTAAAGATGAGAAGAGTAAAGCGCACTAAGATCACTGTAGTTCATATACCATCCACTTGGGCTCTCAAGAAATCTTTCAAGCGCTAACAAGAGTCTTTACACTACAAAATAAATTTTAAAACTTGATTTAAAGGAAAGCTCTTTGAAAGAAAATCGAGTAAAATTCACTGTGAACTTATTAAAACCCACGAGCCCACGAACGTGGAACCCACGAACTGCGAGAAAACTATGACGAAATATAAAAACGAGGAGAGGGGACTGGATTTCAGTGGCGCCCACTACGATCACTGTAGTTCAGATGCCTTCCACGCTAATAAG